TGGCTTCCTGGGTCAGGAGTCACTGGGAGAAAAGTATGTGCTGGCAGTTAGCTTCTTGTGTAATTCATACACAACTCAGCTTCATGCACCTGTAATATTTTGTCACTGCCATTCTGCAAGTTGCAAGATCCTTTAAGAAACTCCATCTAAGCTGCAGCAGTACATAACTGGACCAAAGGGCATTTTATCTCCATACTGACCCTCTGAGTTTGCAGTTTTACTTGAGATAGTCTTCTGCAGATTTGACTTTGAAGTATTTTTGATGCCCACTGGGGTTTTCCTGTGTAAAGATCACTGTCTGCTTCCTTCTTTATACATACCTTCCCATTCCTTCTGTTGCAGAGTTTTATTATTATTATTTTTAATCAAATGGCTTTTCTTAAAAACAACAACAACAACAAAACCACAGCTCTCATTCTGTATGATAGAGAAACATCTGCTTTCATTTGCTGAGTCCTGACTACTTGGATTTGCTTCCATACATATTTAAATTGTACTATACAGTTATGCAATTATTTTTCAGTGTCCTTGACAGATAGAATGTGACTATTTAAATTGCATCCTCTGTATACACTTGTTCATCGTCCTTTATTCTGTTTTAACAATCTGAAAGGTTATGGGAACTTCTTCGACTTTGTGCTTATCTACCTAATTTCTGAGCATGGTGATTGTGATGGGAACTCCTGGTGACTGCATGCTACACCCTGATGAAAATGTGAGACAGGAGCTAATGGAGGTATGTCCTTTTACAGTGCTTTCATTATTTTCCTTCTTTTTCTAACTGTTTTTGAATCTTTAGAAATGCTCAGAAGACCAACAATGCCAAGTTTTAATGAATTTTAATAGTGTTTGAGACGTGAGTCTATATAATAGAAAATCAAGTATATGTTCAAGTGAATTTTGAGTGTGCAATTTCTCAGAAAAGTCTCAAAACCCTCAATCTTTCTCTTATTTCATACCTCAGGTAGTCATTTTGTAATTGGATATTGATAGTCTTCTCATTTTCTAAGCCTGTAGAAAATTATAACAGTGTTTCTTATTTCTGCTAACCTTCCATGAGTTGTTTCCATGCATGTGGAGAAAAAACAACTAAAGAACAGTCATTCATTCCTATTCTGTAAATTGTCATGTCATATAAAGGGAAATCCTCTTGAAGGAAAGCCACAGGAGCTCAGTGTTTGTCTCTTTTGCACCACTCAACCAGCTAGTAATGTTACGTGTAGGAAGCAAACAGATAATGGCTCAGTTGAATCCCAATGCACTGGTCAGTGGACTCTTAATTAAGAACAAGAGGCATTCAGTATGTCTTCAAGCATAGCAAAATTTCTTGTTTGTATTCAGTTGTATAATGTTTTACAAGATATTGTATTATGTGTTCATAGGAAGTCTTATAAAGAGCTTTTACATTTTACACTTAAATAAAAAGCACACATAAAATCACTGAATACACGGGGCTTTGTATAACAGAATGAACACTGGTAAAAATATAAGAAAATAATGTTTCTTCTTTTCATGTACTTGTTCACAGAAATAATTATTGAAGGCATATCGGATCTGAGCTTGTGAGGATGTCAGCTTAGTGTGTGTGTTAATCACTGCTGCAGGAGAAGATGGCAGCATTTCATGATTACTTACATTTCATTATGACCAGCAGCATCCAAAGGATCTTCTGCCCATTCCTGTGTACTCTTGATTTACACAGAGGCAGTGCCCAACCTGCCACATCACTTTTGAAATTTGTGACCTACCTTCCATGTGAATTTTCCGTTTGTGTTATGAATCACCTTCCTAGGTGACTGCCTAGCTTTGTGAGAAATGTTTGTCTAGCATCTCCAAGGGATGAATAATGATTTTGAAAAACTGGTTCTTCTTCCAACAACTGAGAATTCTCTTTGTCATAGTGTACTGCTTTCATTCAAAAACCAGATAATTTTTTCCTATTTGTGGTCACTTGTATTATAACATTTTCAAGACATAAACAGTGTCTTACTTGGAAATACTGTTGCTCAAGCTGTTACAAAATGAAATAGAAATATTTCATGTACTTCTATGTCTGAGCATCCTTCAGTGCCAAAACATGTCTACACTATGTCCCACAAACACATGATTTAAACTGGGTATGTTTGTTTAATTTAAAGGAGGCGAACAGTAGCATCTGATCACAAAGCACCTGCTTTCCTTGCACCAGAAATTTAAACAAGATTCACAGAACAAATGAAATATTAAAAGTGTACTAATTGCTATCGTGGCTGCAGGGCAGAGGCATATCTTGGTCTCCCTACAATGCTTGCAGCCTCCTCCTGACTGGTCAACTTTGTTTTTCACTCAGTGAACTTTAGGAAGACAAAAGTTTGTTGTTTGCTTTGTTATTTGTTTGTTTGCTCATTTATTTATTTATTTATTCTAACTGCAGGAGCACTTCAGGTTTGGACTGTTCGTGTGAAACAACAAATTCATTAACTTCTGTCTGCTGCCCTGATTTATTTCTGCTTTGTCTTAGTCTTCTCTTACAAAATCATTTTTCCTGATCTCACTCAAATACACAAAATCAAAGGGCAGATTTGCTATGACTCATCTGGATTGTTATATATGGTTATCATAAAGTAGAAGCCAAACTTCAAGAACATTCTAGCTGTTCCAAAAGTTACACTGTCTAAAACTTCTACTTAGAAGGAAGTGGTATTACTGCTGTTTCCTTTTCTCTGGATAGTGGATAGAAGCCCTTCATTCACTCCATTAAAGAAGCAAAAGCAAAATTACGATATCGGAGAAATACATTCATTAGCACATTTGTCGGTGCTAAGTGTGCAAGAAAGGCTAGATGTCTTTAATGGTTTACCTTCTACCAGCAATAGCAGTAGAAAGGGTTATGAAATACTCAATTATGGAAAAGAATCACAATGTCAAGAAGCCATGGTCCTTAGACTCTTTATGTTCATTTTCAGCTTTAAGTCTCCAGAAGGTTCATCATCATTTTTCTAGCAAAACAGACTAACTTTTCATCCAATGCAAATATTTTTTTTTCATATTTTAATTCTCAAAGTTTGAAAAAAAAACCAAAAAAACAAAAAACCAAGCATTTTGTACTTTAAAACAACAGAATTTATATTTATCTGAATTTGAGTGATTAGCTGCAGTGCAGGCAAGACCCCAATCTTGTGCTATACATCCCTATGCTTTGAGTCATTTGTTAAAAAGTAACAGTCATGAAATAGGAAGTGAACCAAAATAATTCTTTTCTGATGGTTCTGGTGTTACTTGGCAGGCAGCTAAGCACCACACAGCTCACTCCCCCTGTCACAATGGGATAGGGGAAAGAATCAGGAAAAAAAAAAAGTTAAAACTCATGGATTGAGATAAAGACAGTTTAATAGGATGGAAAAGAAAGGGAAAATAATAACAATTATTTTTATTATTATAAAGGAGTGTACAAAGCAAGCAATGTACAATGCATTTTCTCACCGTCTGCTGACACCATCCAGCGAGACCCTGAGCAATGGCAGTCCTGCTTCAGCCAAATCCCTCATTCTTATTGCTCAGCATGACACCACATGGTGAGGAATATCCCTCTGGCCAGTTTGGGTCACCTGTCCTGGCTGTGTCCCCTCCCAGTTTCTTGTGCACTCCCAGCCTCCTTGCTGGCGAGACAGTATAAGAAGCTGCAAAATCCTTGACTTAGTACAAGTACAGCTCTGCAACAACTAAACAGTCAGTTTGTTATCAGTATTATTCTCATCCTAAATCAGAAACACAGCACCATACTAGCTACTTGGAAGAAAATTAACTCCATGTCAGCTGAAACCAGGACACTGATACATATTTTGTAGGACTGCAGCTTCTGGATACTAGTTACTACTGTCCAAAGAAAAGAATCTAGAGTTTGTTTTTGTTTCTATAAGAAAAAGAAAGGGCATGCATCCAAAGTGTGAAAATTCATTAAAGTTCTGTTCCACTGCACCTTGTGTTAGCACAGGTTGGTATATCTGTGCGTACAATCAAAAAGCTAAATATTTTAAGAGATTAATTAAAAATTCACCTTCAAGTGTTATTTGGCTAGGAATAAAAAGCTTAACTACCTAAGCTTCTGTTTACTACATATGTCTCTGAAGAGGCAGGAAATGTCAAAAGAAGCTGTGCAAATAACCATTAGATAGTTTATGACATTAACCTGTTCAGTACACTTCTAGCCTAAAAGTCACCAATACAAAACAAGACAAAACGACATAAAACGACAAAAACGACAAAACGACAAAACGACATCTTTCTGCCCATATATAATAAGGAGATGCTCCCAGATATACAGTTAGGGATGACAGAGGCTGAAGTTCAGAACAGAGCTCATGTTCTCCTGTCAGGCCAGAGGAAGGAGGAACATAGCAGTGTGCCCTAGACTGGCCAGAAACACCTGTCCTTGCAGCTGAACATAATTTATACAAACTGTCTAGAAAAGGTATCATCCATCATATATTAGTGTGCTATCCTTCCCTTGCCACATGTGCTGTCCTGACTGGGACTTTGGATGAACCCAGGTCACTGCCACAAATGTCTTCACATGAAACCAGTGCATTGCCACATACACAGACAGAGGAGATGTGGAGTGGCAACATGCAGCCGCCAGAACAGGCTTCTCCCTGTTAATTACAGGAACGGTTTGATTTGCTGGTCATTGTCGCCACCTGTACAACTATTCCTGCTCTACCCGTGGAGACACAGCCTGGGCAGTCCTGAGTGGTCATATGATAAAGACAGGAGGTGTGTCTCATTGCAAAGAGGAAAAAATGGACAGAGTTAATAGTTCATTAGCTCTCATAATACAAGTATGAAGGGAAAAAAAAAAAACAAACAGATTAAATTTACATAGAGTGGATAGAATTTCAAACAAATGCACAATATGTAAATTACAGTTGCAATAACTTTATTTTTTATATATATATATTTCATAATTTAGATATTTAAGTACTCAAAATATAATTAATTATATCTGTATTTTAAGCCCTGCTTTGGTGAATGACAATAAAAATCACTGGGAGGTCCCACTTCCTAATGAATACTGCACTATATAAATAAATACCTGCATTGTCAGATTAAGCACTGTCAATATGAAATTTCAAGACTAATATCACAGTTATAAACACCTTAGAATTTAAGAATTAAACTCTGTCATTAACGTTTATGGACTGACATGCATTATTCTGCACTATATCATCATCACTAACATGAAATAAATAAAAGAGCTGAAACAGTTCAACAGAAATCCAGCCTTACAGATGTCCTGACCCTGTCACAGCAGCTCCGAAACAAGAACTATTACTGTCAGCTGCAGATAGACGGGTCAGGTTTCCCATTGTGTCTCACATGCAGTGAATAGCCCCACTGTAATTATTGCAAATCCACGTAAACTTAACATATGCACAGAAGAAATACTGAAGGAGGAGGCCTACAGCAAACAGGAGGAGGATGGGTTGTGGCGACAGCATGTGCTGAAGAAGAGGTTGTGATGTGAAGTGCTGTTTTACTCACTGGGTGCTACTTAGTACTCAGGTAACATGTAAAGAGATGGAGGAACCAGGCTGCTCAACCACAAATGCAGATTGCTTCCACAGAAGTTTTCATATGCAGGTTGGCAGTGACTACACGGGCAGTCAGTCTTCTTCCTAATATCTAACATAAACCTATCTTCTTTTGGCTTAAAATCATTACCCCTTTTCCTACCACTACATTCTCTAATAAAGAATCCCACTTGCCCATCCTCCCCTCTTTCCTCTAGAGCCCTTTTAAACACTGGAAGGCTTCAAAGCCTTCTCTTCTCCAGGATAAATAACCCCAACTCCCTCACCCTGTCTTTACAAGAGAAGTTCTCCAGCCCTTTAACATTCCTAGTGGCCTGGCTGGGTTGTATCTGTTACGGATAGGGCTGAGCTTACACCAGTCTTTCCTGCTTATCAAAGTAAAATGTTTGAAAGGGAATTGGGAGGAAGGTGTTGTCAGGACCCCTCAGCAAACTCTTCATTTTTCATCAGGAAAAGGTGTCCTTTTCTAAGGAGTTATCCTGAAGTCTCTAAGCATTGAACTGCAAGAATTATACTCTATCCTTTGGCTAAAGTGTTTGCTTTGCAAAGAACTCATGCTATAAGCAGCACTAATTTTGGAGCTCAGAAGCTCCTTCTGTTGTCTTTGAGCTCATGGAAGGGGCTATTATACCTGAAGGAGGAGCAGAGGTCCTAGCAGAGTATTTTAAGGGCCCAAGTGAAAAGGAGCCATGATATGGAAATAAACATGAAAGGGTAAATGCCTGCTAACTACGAAAGATGGGATTACTTGGGAGTTCAGCCAAAGAAAAAGCCAGGCATCTGAGGCTGACGCTTTTTTTTTTTTTTTTTTTTTTTTTTTTTTTTTTTGTTTTTTGTTTTGCTTTGTTTTGTTTTTCTTTGAAAGATTGCAGTAATTTCCTTTGTACTAGTAAAGAGAGCTCTGATGAAGAGCTTGTGTGCACTGAGCACATAAATGAGAATGGTGCTTTGCAAGTTGTCTGAACAAGGTTTGGCCACAAACTCACTCTGATGCTGTGCCTGTGTGCTGCAAGGCTAAACAGGCTTAGGCTACACAGATTTCATGCTCAGATCTTTCAAAAAATAGAGGTGAGGAAAAAAAAAAAAAGAAAAAGAAAACACAAACAAACAAGTAATACATTTTCATAGCTGTCTGGGGCAGTTTGCCTTTGCTCTGACATGATCTGACAAAAAATGAATGGGTCTGGCACCTCACTGTAGTACACTGCTTTGGGCTTTCCTGTTTATGGCGTTCTGCCTGTCCAACTTGCTTTATCTTTGGAGTGATTAATAACTGTCTTGAAGAACTGTGCTGAGTTGTCTTGTATCTTAGCCTACTTCAGTTGCCTCTTTTGAAGAATGTCTCCTGTTTTGTGGGATTCCCTAGATATTCAGCAGATGAATAGCATGACAACTGGCCGCTGCTCACCCACACTAGCAGTGGGCAGTTCCTGACTGTTACGCTCCACAAGATCTTCAGACTTGAGCCTGCCATCTCTGTCCATGTATTCACGCAGGGTTCCACCACATGGACTGCTCACAGAAGGCTATCTCACATGGAAAAAATGTGGAGACAAAGGTGGTGAAAAAGTGATAAGGCTGAAGTAAGAAAGTAGTGGCCCTTTGGGAGGTAGAGGGAGTGCTGATTTCACCATCATGGGAAAAAATAGCACCCTGGCTGATATGGGCAGGATGCAGGACAGCTATTGTGTCTTCTGATCACAGTACTGTATAAAGCTGAGCTTTCTACATGTAACTGACTAATGAGCAGTATAGATCAGTCATATGTCTAGCACCTTAGTATTAGCAAATCCAGAATAAAATGGGGATGTTCACATAACTGAAACAGAAATACATGTGCTGGTCAGTGCAAAGTAAAATCACTACTAGTCCTTGTTCCTCCAAGTTTTTAATGGTTGTGTTTTCTCTAAGTAATATGTTCTTGAATTTAGTATAGTTATTTCTGTGTTTGTATTTTTTGTGTTGGTTTGACTTTTCTTTTTGTGGAATGCTGATTTCTGTATAAAGACAGCACACTATATCTGTGTTCATTTTCTGTCACGACTATAGTGCAACTTTTGGAACAAAATAGTTTCATTCGTGTCCTTCATTTCAGCACTTCTTACTCTTCTCTTTATTTCTTCATGGAATGTTTTCTACTTTCCATCTTCTCTTTGCATCATTCCAAAATTCCTCCTGTTCCCATTTCTCTCATATCTTTTCGCATTGCAGATTAAAAGAAAATATTAGAGAAACTTAGAAACCCAATGATGTAACATTCATTATCTTGCCATTTTTGTCAGAGAGGAATTGGAACTTCACTGTGAAGGTTTGTGTTGCCTAGCAACAAGTTTCTCACCAGTGTGGGCCTGTGATGTTGTGCTTACTAATGCAAGTGCCTTTAATGACAAGGCCCAAGTAGTAAAAATCACAGAATCACTGAATTGCTGAGGTTAGGCTACTCAGACTTCCTCTAGCAGCATCGTGCAAGGAGGGCAAAGTGCCAGACAGAAAGGTGCTTATGTCTCTTCCACTGCAAACCTTCATTCGCAGAGGGAGGCTGCAGCACCCATTGGGAGCTCAGCCTTACTGGAGACACCGTCCTCCAGCATACCAAGAAGCATGCTGGTCTCTTGGTAATGTTCAGTGTATAAAGCCCAAACATATATTTGCACCTTGGGAATAGCAGACATAATCTCTGCAAGTGGAATACTGGCTGTTCACACATAGTTTGAAAGAAATTGTTTTGGTTGAGGAAGAGTTTTTGAGGAGACCTGCACTGATGGAGATGCACCAACACTGTGCTTACACTACTGGGAAAGATCATAGCATCAAAGGGTAATTCACGTGGGTCTTCCAAGCTGAAAATGCCTTATTTCACAGAATCACAGACTCACAGAATTGGAGATCGAGTCCAACCCCCCTGCTACAAGCAGTTTCCTCACTTGAAAGGTTGAGCAGGAAAGTTTCCAGGTGGGCCTTTAATATCTCCAGAGAAGGAGACTCCACAACCTACCTGGGCAGCCTGTTCCAATGCTCTGTGAACCTCACTGTAAAGTTCTTACATGTATTTGTGTGGAACTTCCTGTGTTCCAGTTTTTAGTCATTGTCCTTTGTCCTATTGCTGCACACCACTGAAAAGAGCCTGGCCCTGTTGATTTGCCTCACACACTTTACATATTTATAAATGTTGATCAGATCACCTCTCAGTCTTCTCCAGGCTGGACAGATCCAGGTCTCTTTGTAAACACTCTGCTGAACTAGTTTAAAACTGCTTAGGCTGTGTCAGGGACCAAAGGCAGGGCTCCCAATAACCTTGCCCAGATTTCTAATGAACTGTTGGATGAAGGTTATTCCTCCCAGAGCACTGGGGTGCAGGGAAGCATGCAAGAGTAAGCTCTGACAATCATGCACTACAGATGGCATCTTCCCTAGGTGAGCATGGAGTAACATGCTTCTCAACAGCATCAAGGCATCAAAACGAGCCCATCAAAAAGAGTCCAGTGGAGGGCAACAAAGATAGTACAGGGCCTGGAGCACCTTCCCTATGAGGAAAGACTGAGACACCTGGTTCTGTTCAGCCTGGAGAAGAGAAGACCGAGAGGGGATCTTATCAATGTTTACAAATATCTTAATTGTGGGAGACAGAAGGATTTGGCCAACCTCTTTTCAGTGGTTTGTGGGGATAGGACAAGGGGCAATGGCCAAAAAAATGGACCATAAGAAGTTCCGCACCAACATGTGAAAGAATTTCTTCATGGTGAGGGTGACAGAGCACTGGGACAGGCTGCCCATAGAGGTTGTGGAGTCTCCTCTGGAGATAATCAAGGCCTGTCTGGACACCTACCTGGGCAAGATGCTCTAGGGAACCTGCTTTGGCAGGGGGGTTGGACCTGATGATCTCTTGAGGTTCCTTCCCACCTTTACAATTCTGTGATTCTGTGATTCCATGAAACATCACTCATTAAGTCCAACTGTCATAGCAAAGAAGAAAAGACTACACAAGACCTGCTAAATATGATTCTGGAAATTGCATTACAATTTTCTGAGCGAGCTGCTTTGTTTTTTTGTAAATTCAAGCAACTATTGAATGACATTCAGTTTCTTCACCAGTAAAAACTATGATCTTGAACAAAAATGCCAAGCAAAGACTTTTTCTGGCCACTGTGAAACTGTTATTGTGGTGTTTTTTAGGTTGGATTTTTGAAATTTTTAACAAAGATTCTTGGATCTTTTTGTTTTGGTACAAATATCAGTGATTAATTGGGATAGGGTACAAGACTTCAGCTATTACATTATCTAGAATTTTATGTATTTCTCAGAACTTTACTGAACATCCTTCTCATCCTCTTTTCCACTATAATTATGTTTCATGAAAGAGCTTTTCAATTCTAAGGAGGGAAAAGACATTTTCCCTAATATTCATCTTCAGTCTTTGATGTGTCAACCATTAAAGCCCAGTGGACAAATGCAAAGCATTCAGGATAAGACAAAAACTAGAAACAGTCACTGTCCCTCAGAACTTGACTGTGTGGAAAATACAAAGCTTCTCTGATGAAGTAGGGTCACTGACATTTTTTGTTTGTCTTTCAAGCAGTTATCAGCATGTCACACTTTCTTCCACTGCAAAGGCCTTTCAGTGTCTAGGGAAGAGTTTTACATACATCTTTTGTCTATAATCTTCTTTACGTCTTCCGGTACACTATGCAGTTGGACACATTGTTTTGAAGTGGCTTGACAGATCTCTTTTTACATCATGATCCCTGTTGCTTGTTGGGCACTAAAACCTCCATATGAGAATAACCTAGAGACTGTAGTTTCACATGGAAGATACATAAGGAATAGAACAAAGCTGCTGTGAGATTGGTAAGCTTTCCTATTCTTCCTACTAATGCTGTTGTCCCTGTTCCTTGCTGCAGCCCAGCTCCCTTGACCTGCTAGCTGCAATTCTTTTGCTGCAGCCCAGGATATGGTTGGCTTTCTGGGCTGCAAGCACACATTGCCAGCTCATGTCGAGCTTTTCATCTGCCTGTACCCCAAGTCCTTCTCCATAGCGTTGCTCTCTATCTACTCATTGCCCAATCTATATTCATGTTTGGGATTGCGCCAACACGTGCACCTTGGACTTGGTCTTGTTGAACCACAGTTTGTTTGCATGGGCCCACCTCTCAAGCCTGTTAAGGTGTCATCTGCAAACTTGCTGAGGGTGTACTCAATCCCATTATTTGTGTTGCTGACAAAGATGTTAAATGGTACTGGTCCCAATACTGACCCTTGAGGGACACCACTTAACATTGGTCTCCATCTGTGTTCTAGCATGGTTTCCCATACCTCCCCTATGCACCAGCAAGGTTGGCCTTTTTCAACACCCGGAAAAAACAGATAAGAAGGTACCTTTGTGGTCTCCCACTCTGTGTCCTCTCTGACTAGAGCTCGTCTGGAAAGCAAGCAGCAATTTCCCAGTAGCCTCCAGAAAAAATGTGTGCTACTTGGAGCTGTGTTAGCTGTTCACCCATAGAAGTTATTTTTAAACCTATGGTCCCCTTCATCACTTCATATTTGCAGCTCTGTGTTTTTCTCCTTAATTACCCTCTTGGGCTGGAGAAGGCTTTTGCTCACTAAAAGTTCAGGACTACACAAGCCAAGAATAAATAACAGGCACTGATGAATGCAGAGGCAAGAAATAAAAGTGACGTACAGATTTTTCTGCTGCCTGCAATCCCAGTCTCACAAATTTCACAGCTTTTTTTTTTTTTCCTAGAAATTATGTCTGGAACACTACTTACAGTCCTGGGGGCTTATCCTCTATGTGTCTATCTCATATTAACTCATATTAAATAAATGTTAACTTCTGGCTTCTATCTCACCTCTGGAAACATAATTCACATTTTAATAATATCTTTGTGAAAATATGCATCTGTTTGCATGTTTTGGAGCTGCTTCCTGGTTATTTCAATCTTCAACAATGAAAAACCCAGGTAATTGTGATTTTATGGATTTATCTACATTATCTGCATCCTAATACATTTTATAATCCATTCCTGGGCTTTTTTTTTTTTTTTTTTTTTTTTTTTTTTTGCATGTTTAAATGCATTTCCAGATGAAACAAGTCTGTGCACTCAAGTAATAGTAACAGAAGCCTTAAAAATTAAAATCCCATTTTAAGTGCTAGAAATGCTAATAATGTCATGTATATCTAAGGTTACATGCTCTGTGGCTGCTTCTACACATGGCCCAAAACGTACCTGAGTAGTCCCACAAATGATCAGTAGGTGTTGCTGACTATGGATACTTGTGTGTTGTACACAATCCTGTAACATGTACAAATCTGTACTGCACAGACATACAATGTCATGCTGTGCTGTACCTGATTCTTTACCTTTAAGAGCTCCTATCTGCCGACTATGACGGATAGTCCTGGAAGTATGAAATGACCCTTGAAATACTTTGTGCAGGAAAATGCTGCTGTCAATGGTGGTGTGGATATATGACTTTAAGGGTGTTGTGGCTTAACTCTGGCAGGTAGCTAAGTACCACGCAGACACTCGCTTGTTCTCTCCAGGTGGGATGGGGGATGGAAATGGAAATGCTAAAGTGTGAGAACTCATTGGTTGAGATTAAGGCAGTTTACTAGGTACGGCAAAAGCTGTGCATGCAAGCCAAGAAAAACAAGGAATGCATTGGAATTCAAGGAATGATGCTTCCCATCAGCAGGCAGGTGTCAGCCACTTCCAGGAAAGCAGAGCTCATCACATGCAATACTTTCTCGGGAAGACCAATGCCATCACTCTGAATGTGCCCCATTTCCTCTTTACCTTCTTTACCTCAGCTTTTATTGCTGATTGTGAACATCAAATGTATGGAATATCCCTTTGCCCAGTTTGTGTCACCTGTCCTGGCTGTGTCCCCTCCTGGCTTCTGGTGCATCCCCAGTCTCCTTTCTGGCAGGGCAGCATGAGAAGCTGAAAAGTCCTTGGCTTTGTGTGAGCACTGCTCTGCAACAAATAAAAACATCAGTGTGCTATCACTACTATTTTCATCAAAAGTCCAAAATACAGTGCTGTATGAACATCTATGAAACAAAACAAGACAAAAAAAAAAAAAGCAAAAAACACTCTATCCCAACCAAAGACATGCCAATGCTGTATTAATAGCAAGTTTCATGGCAACATACACAGAACTACATAGCTCCTCCCTTTACTGGCAGCTGTGGAAGAACTATAGAAATGTAGGAAGACCTTCAGGATCCAAAATTCTAGGAAATCAAGGGCCAGAATTACAGCTCAAGTATAGCTAATGTGATGCCAAACTCTCACTTGAACAACTTTCCTGTACGTAGTTCATTTCCCACTGTGAAGAGCAGACTGTGAGGAAAAGGCTTTGTTCACTTCTGGTGATGCAAGGAGTGGTGGTGTGTGTCACGTTTCATTACAGTGTGGTACGAGTGCAATGCTACTAGATGAAGGAGAATTTTGTGATAATGTGCTTCTCAGCACTATGTATCATTTCACACATAGGAGTTTGCAAATGGTCTTGCCCATTTCTATAACAGTTCTTATGTACTGACAGCTTCAGGATAGCTGAGATTATTTCACATCGTGTTATTGCAAATATCAGTGAGAAAGTGCTGTGTAGATTGAGAGCAGCAAAAGGCTGTAATCTTCTTATCATGGGGTAGTGAGGCATTAACTCTTCAGCCATTGTACAGTCACTGATCTCAACTGGGGTTATTCTGATGGTAAACTTAAGGGGATTTTCCTTCACAACAATAACAACAATAATAATAATAAATAATTTATTATATGTTCTCTTTTCCAATTAAGTTATTTGAGGTTGGTCTTGGCTGGATATTGAAATATTTGTGTTTGTAAGGTTAGGGCCACGTAACGAGGTGGAACTAGTCATGTAAGTAAACAAGGATGATCATTTTATAGAAACATTAGGGGAAGGAGCACTGCACCAAATCCATTTAATGCATTTTGGTGAAAATAACACATTAAATTTCCACAGTGAAATGCAAAATTAGTTGAACAGTTAACAGAATGGAAAATAGCTATGATATGTAAACATCTGTAAAAAACAGTATTTAAATTATTTTTTAGCATGGTGATTTGAAGGCTAAATCTTCAATCTCTGCTATGCTAGATGAGACCCCAGGTTTTGTGGGTGAGCGGTGGTAGGCAACACCCCAATGCAGTGTGGTGTGTCAGTGAGCATCCCAAACCAGGGACCTTGTGTTTATTGCAGTATTGCATTGGTGTCCCAAAGAAGCCATGAAGACTGGTATTACTTTGGGAAGGGCTGTGGTTGGCAATAGGCAGCCCACCCAGCCCTGGAGCACAGAGTGACCTATGATTTGAGCCAGACACAAAACTTCAATCTGCCACTAGGCAGACAAGGGCCAGCTAGCAAAGCTGTTATGAAATGCTACTCCTGACTTGCAGGAGACCTAGTGGTGTTCCCCAGGGTTCAGTACTGGGGCCAGTTCTCTTCAATAGCTTTATCAATGAACTGGACAAGGGGATTGAGTGCACCCTCAGTAAATTTGAAGATGACAACAAGTTAGATGTGAGTGTTGATCTGCTTGAGGGTAGGAAGGCTCTGCAGAGGGATCTGGATAGGCTGGACTGATGGGCCAAGGCCAACTGTATGATGTTCAGCAAGGCTGGGTCCTGCACTTGGGGCACAACAACCCCATGCTATACTACAGGATGGGAGCAGAGTGGCTGGAAAGCTACCCATTGGAAAGGGACCTGGGGGTATGGATCAACAGCCAGCTGAATATGAGCCAGCAGTGTGCTCAGGTGGCCAAGAAGGCCAACAGCATCCCGTCTTGTATCAGAAATAGTGTGGCCAGCAGCGCGAGGGAAGTGCTCATCCCTCTGTACTTGGCTCTGGTGAGGCCACACCTCGAATCCTGTGTTCAGTTTTGACCCCTCACTACAAGAAGGACATCGAGGTGCTGGAGTGTGTCCAAAGAAGAGCAACAAAGCTGCTGAAGGGTCTAGAAAACAAATCTTATGAGGAGCAGGTGAGGGAGGTGGGACTGTGTAGCTTGGAGGAAAGAAGGCTTAGGGCAGACCTTACTGTACAATTACCTAAAGGAGGATTTTAGCGAGGTGGGGATCAGGCTCTTCTCCCAAGCACCAAGTGATAAGACAAGGGGAAATAGCCTTGACTTGTACCAGGGGAGGTTTTGGTTGGATATTAGGAGAAATTTATTTACTGAAAGGGTTGTGTGGCATTGGAATAGGCTGCCCAGAGAAGTGCTTGAGTTACCATCCCTGGAGGTCTTCAAGAATCTTCTGCGATGTAGAACTTAGTTGCATGGTTTAGTGGTGGACTTCTTAGTACTAGGTTGAAGGTTGGACTAGATAATCTTACAGGTCTTTTCCAACCTGAATGATTCTATGAAACACTGCTTCATCTCTGTCATTTGTGCTGACCACCAGAATGTGTGACAAGATCAGCACCACGTGGAGACCCCAGACCACTCAGAGCTTGTGTCCTATGCACTGGGGAGACAGAAAAACACCTCAGCTTCACTCTCCTCCTGCTCTGTGCAGTCTGCTGTGGCTCTCTCCCAACTTGCTTCCTACTTGAAGGTAATGGGAAGCTGCTTTCATGTGTAACAGCCATGTGTCACTATCCTGACCCTGTATAAATGATCAGACACTCCTTAGTTTACATAAGATTAAACGAAAAGCACTCCGGAACATACTGCTTATGTAACCAGGGCAAAGTTGTGAAAAAGGTTATACACTTCTCATCTCAATGTATTAGTCAGGACATATTTCTCATAGCTACTTAGCCACAAATACCACTGCTATATTCCTCTTCAGCTCCAGAGCAGCTGGACACCACAAGCATTTCAGCATGGACTGTACAGATGCAGGGACTGTATAGATGACTGTACAGACTGGGAATACTTAGGTATCTAAATGCCCACACATGGCAAGAGCAAAGGTGAAATTGAACAGTTGTTCTGGTGTTGCAGATGGAGAACAGAATGCTACTCACACAAAGTAAAACTTGGACTGTGGAGGGGACAGAAAAAGACTGATGAAACCCTGCCCAGTGCCCAGAGACCAGACCAACTCTAACTGTTTTGTGCCTGCACTACAGCAGACATTCGTTACCAGTGCATGGTTTGATGCACAGGTATCTCCCCACTTGGCCTATCTGCAAAGAAAACAACTGTGTGCTTTCTACTACTAAAGTGACTTCAGCATAGAACTTGTCAAGGAGATGGGGGGGGTGGGGAGGGGGGGGAGGGAGGGAGTTGAACCCTAAAACTAAAAGGAGAGCTTAATTGTCCTGCTGATAATGTCCAGGGCTGATTCATCTCCCTTCTGTGTGTCCAGAAATGTGCATAAACTGTGCAAGGTACCGAAGGGGGAAGAACTGTATTTAGGAAATGGGTAATAGTAATTCCTATGTCAAGCTGGCTCCAAGTTCTGTGAGTACGTAGAGCTACATGCCATTGTACACTGCAGGTGCAGTTAGGATGCATGCATTTTTCAGAACCTCTCTCTCTCCTGGCAATGACGGCGTAGTCATACTCAAAAACAGTTTATACATGGGGCCTGGACCCTGCCAGCCTCCAGGGGAACCTGGTCCAGGCTGCCCTGCAGATGGCAGTCCTGCACTGTGACCGCCTGTCAGAGTCGTGTTCCAAAACTGGCTTAATCGTACAGGGGATACTTGGCTTTTACCTTAATATTGCTGTGAAGCAGACTGTGTCCCAGAATTTTATGGATTCGTTAAAACATGCTCCAGAGAAGGAAATTCATAGCTTCTATTTAGTTTTGTAAAACAAATGCACAGATTTACTATGCTGCAGGGTCGTTTGTTTCAAAGGTGTGTTGAGTAGATCGTGAAGTATTCTCTGCTGCAGTGGCCTAGGTCACATTTCAGCCCTTGCTGACTAAAAGCTTTGCCTGTGGGTATTACACTCACACTTTTGTTTTGGTCTACGCAGTAAAGAGTAAAAAAAAAAAAAAATCTATTTTACAAAAAACGGATAGAGCTTTCCCTCCATAATATTTGCCAAAATATTTTTCCATCAAATTCTCCTCAAAAATACCCCGTGGGGGAGAGGGACTGGGCTGAGAATGGTGGAGATAGATGGGAAGGAAAAAAGGCACCTTTGCAACACCAGTCTCCTTATCACACTGTCACTGTGCAGCACTTCCACTACTGCTCACACTCCATGGGCCCTGTGCTGAGCTCAACAGGCCCCCCACACTGTGGCTCATCACACCAGTGCTGCCTGCACCTGCCTGCAGCAGCCTCTGGCCTTTTGGAGCTGGGACAGTGATGTCTGCATCGATGAGATGGCTGTTTATGGTCTGCTTTTAGTCTTTATGTGGCACCACATTTTTACATAGATCTGTGACTCTTCGTGTACAGGAAGTTGAAAAGCAAACACCTCCTGGACTGCTTTAGCAAGAGTAGAAACAGTAGGTATAGGGCAATAACTGCTCCTTTCTACTCAGTACTGCACACATCTGGTGTGTTGTCAACAGTTCTGTGGCCCACAGTATAAGAAAGCTTTTAAGAAACTGGGAAGAGTGTAATAACGGAGCTGTAAGGTGGTAGGGGCTTGAGCATATGATATAAGAGAGGCAGAGGGAGCTGGGCTTGACTAGTTTGGTGATGAGAATATTATTAGGTAACCTAATAGTTGCCCTCAGATACTTGCAAGGGCCATTAAGATTGTATGATCCAGATGCCTGTCAGCACAATATAAATAAAAAGTAAACTTCCCCTTTCCTTGCCTCACTGTTTCCTTGTTTTCTGCTATCTTTCTGTACATTCAATTTGTCTAATTCTCATATTCACCTGTCATGGTTTTGGCTGGAGTAGAGCTAATTTTCTTCATAGAGGTTCATACAGTGCTGTGTTTTGGACTTTTGATGAAAATAGTGGTGATAACACACTGATGTTTTTATTTGCTGCAGAGCAGTGCTCACACAAAGCCAAGGACTTTTCAGCTTCTCATGCTGCCCTGCCAGAAAGGAGACTGGGGATGCACCAGAAACCAGGAGGGGACACAGCCAGGACAGGTGACAAAACTGGGCAAAGGGATATTCCCAGCAGGGGGTTTGTACTAGGTGATCTTCAGAGGTCCCTTCCAACCTCAGACATTCTGTGATTCTGTGTCTTTCTCTGACATCTAGGTACTACAGAATAGGCAGCCATGAAATAGCTTGGGCCCTGACTCCAGATACTGTCAAATATACATGCATACTGCTAGAATATGATATAATAAAATGAAGGGATGTGTTATTTTCTTTCCTTCAGATTAATTAAAGAAAAAAATAGGACCCTTTTTCTCACCAGTATCTTATTCCAAGTCTCAGAAAGAACCATCAAACATGGTCTTAATATTTCATGAGCTGGCACATGCTAACTCTAGGCAATGCAAAATGTTTCCAAAACAACACTTGCGAAAAAATACAATTACAATTTAAAATGTGTTTGTTGACTATTCTGCTAGCCTGAAAAAGCAGGAAAGTGGATAAACTTCCTCAGATAAATGTGATTTTGTGCTAGGCTATACTTACAGAGTTTGGACTATGACAGTAACAAGTGTAGATTTCCATGTCAGCCACATGTAAATGTGTTAATAGCTCATAGTGAGAGATTTTTATTTCTACACTTTGAATATGAATATTTAACAAAGGATTTTACTGATTAGTTACACTCTAGTCTCAGGCATAGTCCTTCACTTATGGCCTCTGGGAATGTAAAGAAAAAAAAAAAAGGAGTTTGCATGATATTCTATAGTGCTCTAATTAATCATTTATTCACCATAGATTTTTCATTCTTTTTCTTATGATGAAACTGTTGTCAGGCAATGTAAACTTAGCCAGTATAATAATTCTTTGTTATTTCTGTGTATCTTCAATACTTTTGCTTCCTTGTGAACAACTTCTTGGAGGTACTCAAACTTCAGAATTTATGCTGTTAGAGCAGTGCTGTCAGGAATATGCTGTTGTTTTTATGCCTTGTCTGAATCTGAAGGGCATTCACAACATACATAGATATCAATGCATATAAACGGAATTCTAGGAATGTAGGCCTGAAATTCCACAAAAAGCTGTGCATGACCAATAGCAAGGAAATTGCTTCCCCCTCTCCCCATGACAACCAGCTGGGATAAGCAATACTGAGAGTATGAGGTACTACTGAGGTTGACAAGCAAACAGAAGGTGGCCTTTAACTCCCTTAACCTAAGGTGTGCTTTCACATAGATAGTCACACACAAAAGGTGGTTTAGCAGGCAGTCACTCTAAAAAGGTGCACATGCCAAAAGTGCAATCACAATTGCCATATGCTTCAAATATGTACACACCCAGTGGACAGTTAGCAAACACTTTGTATTCTCTAGAGGAGCTTGTGGTGAATACAAAGAAACTGGAGTTAATAACATTGGATTCCATTTATAAGTAAATCTGAGATTCCAGCATGGGTTATACTTTGTCCTGCAATATATCGATGATATGCTACCTGACAAAACTGCCCAATTAAAGGGAATGAGTTTAATGCAGGTGTGGTGTCAAGTGTATGGCTAAGATCAAGAGATTTTTGCTGCAAAGGCAGATCATTAAGAAAAGTTATTTGCAGGAGTATACTTTTTAGGCACTTTATTAAAGATACCAAAACCCAAAATTCAGAGTGGATGACTTAGTCATACTGTTTATGTTTTAGTATAGGACCTGGAAACTGCCTTGGAAATTGGAGTCATGTACTAGAGTTCTCAAGATAGAGAACGAGTTATTTGTGTTGTATGATTCTTTGTTGTCTCTTATCTTCACTAAAGGAGAGTCAAGAAGTCTCCAAATAACTTGTAAACTGCTCACTGGCACATTCTGTAAGTTTGATGATTGGTAACATATGCAGAGAATTGATTTTTATGAAAGGTAACCATTAGAACTTTTGAGTGGAGGTCATCATAGTCTTCCGTAACATCATCTCTCATCCAGAATTTTTTTTTCTTCTTTTTCTTTTACAATCCTTTCAGTTAATAAGCTCCTGATACTATATGACAACAAGAATTGTTCTCCTCCCTGTACAAGAGTATGAGTCTTACAAACATTCCCTGCTGGATGGGAAGGGAAAATATCTGGGAATATTAGGTTTGTAGGGTACATTCCCTGGTATAAAATAAGTGATAGAAACACAGAAATCAGTAGAAGAGAACAAGGAATGAGCAAGGCAACCAATTGGCAGGATAGACAGCTGTTTCAGCAGAACAGTTGAACAAACTTTGTCTTGTTCTCTGTAAGCATTGCAGAAAATCAATTTTGGAGCAACTGTAAGATAACTGCTGAAGGGTTGACCTATACAAAGGCAAAAGCAAAACTGGAAGTTTTTTTTGAACAAGTGTCATAGAAGTATAGTTGAATGCGCGTTATTTTTATCTATGTTTTTATTAATTTTACACTGAAGAATGGATGACCCATGATTCTTCAAAATATTTAAAGACCACAGGTAATTTTGGGAAGACAAAAATCCATCAAATAGTAAACATGTCATCTTGTACTGTTCCATAGCTACTAGCTGTAGTGATATTTTTTCTTTACACTAGCATAGCAAAGACCAAGAAATTAAGAGGTTTCTCCTTGGAAGGTGACATTTATGAATAGCTTGGGGAAAAAAAAATGAACAAAGAAAAGTACACATTTTTGTTAGGACTGAAATAGTGGTCAATTGCATTGTTGTTGTAGCAAAGTAAACATTGAAAAAATGTGTAATAAACTAAATTAGATAGTATTAATGAAACAGACAGAGCAGTACTGTCAGCAGCAGCCCTTTTGCTAGCATAACTGCAAAGAAAACCTAAGTTTTGACTCTAAGTAAAGGCAAATGATAATTATTTTCTTAATTAATATAAGCAATTAAGCTCTTCCTTGTAGAACAATCTTTGATTGAAAATTGAATCTTAAAAAATATTGAATTCCCAGTAGTGTACCCTTACAAAGTTGATCCACCTGCATTTGAATTAACTTTCTGAAAGTAACTTCATACTCTCCAGGTATCAGAGATTTAGTGAAATGCTAAATAAACCCCAAACTCTCTCGGCCTCCTTGGGGTAAAATAATCTAAACAAACTAAACTTTGAGCAGCTAAATGCTGATGCACAGGTATATACTGTAACAAAACTACTGCACTGACAAAAGTATTAATTTACAAAGAAGAATTAACAGAGACTACATCGACTTACATATTACCACATTCAAAATAAAATTTAAACACTCTGTTAGGAATTTGGGAAGTTTTAAAACATGAAAAATGTTGCTGCATTTCTCAGGGATATATATGTATTTCTAACAGACAGAAAATCCATTAGAATAGCCTAAGGCAATCAGTAACTGAATGAACTCTACAGGAGATGGGAGCAATAGCAAATGGCATTTCAATAGTTAGTTAACTTTTTTTTATATGATCTTTGCCAAATTTGAAGGGTCAGTATAGCACTGTAGAGGGCAAACAGAGGTACAAGAGGTGGGGGACAACTGTGGACAAGGGCAGGTAACAGTCCGGTTATGGTCCTAAATGCTGCAGTTCTCAGTCAGTGGACTTACCTTCTCAGCTTCTTCTCTGTGTTGCAAGTTGCACAAAATTCTGGGTAACTTTAGAACAACAGATGGATAGGTGAAGACTCTGTGGAAGGAACAGTTTAATTCTCAAACCTTGTAATGCATACCCATCATACTCACCATTTCTAGATTCTTTATGCTTTCTATAAATTTGTACATTGCCTCATATAAGCCATAATCTGCAGATGAATATAAATATATATTTAACATATATCCGGAGTTTAACGTTCAATTAGCATTATATTAAGGCTCCTTTTTTTTTTTTTTTAAATTACACATGAATTATCTTTGAAATTTTCTAGTATATTAAAATGCCTTTGACCAGTGCTGTTATTTTGCCATGTGTTTACATTTAACTAGTGAGCTGAAATTTTCAGGATGAGCTTTGATGAGCCAGAAATATACCTTGGAGGAACAGACTAGGTTAGTAAAGTGAGGTAGATCGTGGCAAGACAGTGTTGCACAAATGCACTGTCAAACCCAGTGGATGAGCTAGCTCTCTGTTTTTCTTAATTGCAAACATGTTGTAATGAACTGCTGTGAGGAGGGGAGGTGGACACTGTATGCAGTTAAATCCTCAGTAGAAAAAATACACAAGTATAAAAATGGCTTCTATGCAAGTAGAAGAATGTTTCTGCTGCTGAAAGGAGCTCGTTTTTGTGATACGGGCAGTAAGCAGTTGCAGGGCTGCATAGTGATCCATAGCCAACAAAACTGAGATATGAGCACTTAATATAAACTATGACCCTGACTGATGAACTCACAATGATGTGAGTTTATTTATTTATTAATTTTGTGGGATACCTTTTCCAGCATTTCAGTCCTCACAGAAATGCTGTTTATCTGTAATGTCACCAAAATCCACCAGGAGATGAAGCCTGGATATTGACACATATTGGTGCAGTCTTTGTGACCTTCATGTTTTTTACAGGATAAAAGCAAAAAGAGCTATTTTAAATAAAACTACTTTTTTTTTTTTAATGGAAAAAAAAAAACAAACACTTTGTTTTGACAAAATGGGCACTTTCCACTGGAATCCTGATAGGTGAAAAATGCCTGTCTTGTCATGATATAATCATCATATAGCTTGGGTTGGAAGGAACCTTAGACTATCTAGTCCTAACCCCCCTGCCATTGGTAGGGACACCTCTCACTAGACCAGGTTGCTCAAAGCCCCATCCAGCCTGGCCTTGAACACTTCCAGGGATGGGGCATCCAGAGCTTCTCTGGGCAAACCTGTATCTGTAGCATTAGAATTATTATATAATTCATACGCTTTATAACATTTAATGTGAACTATTGAAAAAAAAAAAAAAAAGAGGAAAGGATGTTTTTCAATGTACAATTCTTTCTGAGAAAGGAGATGCTGAAACTACTCTGTGGGAAGGAGCATCTGAATGCTTCTGGGAGCCCAGAACTGGACACAGTACTCCAGGTGAGGCCTGACCAAGGCAGAGTAGAGGGGGAGGATCACCTCCCTTGACCTGCTGGCCACACTCATTTTCATGCACGCCAGGATCCCATTGGCCCTCTTGGCCACGAGGGCACACTGCTGGCTCATGATCAACCTGTCATACACCAGGACCCCCAGGTCCTTCTCCTCAGGGCACTTGTCCAGCAGGTCATCCCCCAGCTTGTACTGATGGAATGATAAGGTTGAGTCCCTATGGGTTAGGTTTGGTGGGAAGGCCAACAAGGCAAGCATCATGGTGGGGGTCTGTTACAGACTGCCGAATCAGGATGAGGAGACAGATGAGGAGCTCTACAGGCAGTTGGCAAAAGCTGCAAAATCGTCAGCTCTTGTCCTTGTGGGGGACTTCCCAGACATATCCTGGAAATGCAATACAGCTCAGAGGAAGCAGTCTAGGAGGTTTCTGGAGAATGTGAAAGATAGTTTCCTAATGCAGCTGGTTAGTGAGCCTACCAGGGGAGGTGCCCCACTGGACCTTCTGTTCACAAACAGAGAAGAACTGGTGGGAGACGTAGAGGTCGAAAGCTGTCTTGGACAGAAGTGACCATGAAATGGTAGAGTTTCCTATTCTTGGTGGAGTCAGGAGAGGGACCAGTAAAACTGCTGTCTTTGACTTCTGGAGGGCAGACTTTGAGCTGTTCAGGGCATTGGGTGGCAGAGTCCCTTGGGAGGCAGTTCTGAAGGGCAGAGGAGTCCAGGAAGCCTAGGCACTCCTCAAGAAGGAAATCTTAATGGCTCAGGAGTGGTCTGTCCCCACGTGCCCAAAGATGAGCCGGCATGGAAGAAGACCAACCTGGCTGAACAGAGAGTTGTAGCTAGAGCTTAGGAAAAAAAAAAGAGGGTTTATGATCTTTGGAAAAGAGGGCAGGCCACTCAGAAGGATTATAAGGATGTTGTAAGGATGTATAGTGACAAAATTAGAAAGGCCAAAGTTCAACTGGAGCTCAATTTGGCTACTGCTGTTAAAGACAACAGAAAATGTTTTTATAAATACATTAACACTAAAAGGAGGACTAAGGAGAATCTCCATCCTTTACTGGATGCGGGGAGAAACTTAGTAACGAGAGATGAGGAAAAGGCTGAGGTGCTTAATGCCTTCTTTGCCTCAGTCTTTAGTGGCAAAAGCAGTTGCTCTCTAGATAGCCAGTACACTGAGCTGGTGGAAGGGGATGGGGAGCAGAATGTGGCCCTCACAATCCATGAGGAAATGGTTGGCGACCTGCTACAGCACTTAGATGTACGCAAGTCGATGGGGCCGGATGGGATCCACCCAAGGGTGCTGAGAGAACTGGCAGAAGAACTGGCCAAGCCGCTTTCCATCATTTATCAGCAGTCCTGGCTATCATGGGAGGTCCCAGTAGATTGTCAGCTAGTAAATGTGATGCCCATCTACAAGAAGGGCCAGAAGGTCGACCTGGGAAACTATAGGCCTGTTAGTTTGACCTCAGTGCCAGAGAAGCTCATGGAGCAAATTATCTTGAGTGTCATCATATGGCACTTACAGGGCGATCAGGCAATCAGGCCCAGTCAGCATGGGTTTATGAAAGGCAGGTCCTGCTTGATGAACCTGATCTCCTTCTATGACAAAGCAACATGCTTGGTGGATGAGGGAAAGGCTGTGGATGCGGTCTACCTTGACATCAGGAAGGCTTTTGACACTGTTTCCCACACCATTCTCCTCGAGAAACTGGCTGCTCTTGGCTTGAACTGGTGTACACTTCGTTGGGTTAGAAACTGGCTGTGTAGCCGGGCCCAAAGAATGGAGTCAAATCCAGTTGGAGGCCGGACACTAGTGGCGTTCCCCAGGGCTCGGTACTGGGGCCAGTTCTCTTTAATATCTTTATCGATGATCTGGATGAGGGGATCAAGTGCACCCTCAGTATATTTGCAGACGACACCAAGTTATGTGCATGTGTCCATCTGCTCGAGGGTAGGAAGGCTCTGCAGGAGGATCTGGATAGGCCAGACCGATGGACTGAGGCCGACTGTATGAGGTTCCACAAGGCCAAGTGCCGGGTCCTGCACCTGGGGTGCAACAACCCCAAGCAGAACTTCTTCCATGAAAGCATTGTTAGGCATTGGAATAGGCTGCCCAGGGAAGTGGCTGGGCAGTCACCATCCCTGGAGGTCTTTAAAAGACATTTAGATGTAGAGCTTAGTGATACGGTTTAGTGGAGGACTTGTTAGTGTTAGGTCAGAGGTTGGACTAGATGATCTTGGAGGTCTCTTCCAACCTAGATGATTCTGTGATTCTGTTTGGTGGGTCAAGCACATCACAGCCTATTTACAGTGACAAAATATCTGATAGACAATTCTTCAGAGTGATCTCCAGTACCAGTCATTTCCAGTACCAGTTATTTCTGAGCTATGTAAAAGAACCTGAGAGAACAGCAGGATCACAGGATCTGAAATACACAACACTTTGCTGTTTGTATATCATGTATTTTTACTTCATTTTTCAGTGATCCTTCATTTATATATATATATATTAAGGTATCAGAGTTTAAATGTGTTCTGAAACATTAAGTATGGAAACACTGCCCCAAGAAGAAGATTTTTGTGGATTATCATGAAGATGTCTTCTTGTTTTGAAAGGAGGGAAAAAAATGACTGGAGTCCCACAGAATAATTCCATCATAGCAGTAACAGGAGAGGACAATTAAAAGCATTTTAAAGCCCTCATGAAGTTCCCTCATGAACTTTGCTTAGAATTTGAAATGGGACACATTCTGACATACAGTTTTGACGGTATTGCTGTTTTCAGGGGGAGAAAGGCACTTTTCCTGGTTTTGTTGTTGTTGCTGTTCATTTATTTATTTATTTATTTATTTATTTATTTTCCTGGAAAAAATACTTTCTCTCTGTTTTCTGACTACTGCATTTTCCTCTGTGCTGACTTAAAAAGTTTAGGGAATTAATCTTGTCATTGATTTTAAAGCTTCATTAGCACTATCATCGTTAAGTGAATGAAAATGCCCTTGCTGTTTCTACTCCTTTATATTTTCATCAGATAATTGAGTCTGGACCTCATTAAGGGATGAATGCACTTCTCAAGTGACAGCCCAGCTGTGTAACATGAAGCCTGCAATGAATAGTCACTAAGCTATGTACACAGGATAACAGAATATACAGAGCCTCCTTGAACATTTGAATACTTTTTTAATATCCTTAAAGGTACTACCTAAAGTAGAAAGGGTGAGAAATGTTCAGCTAAGATGGACCTGGGAGGAACTGGGAATATTTGCCACCTATCTGTAATGTAATGTGCTCAGCAGTGTAAAGGCAAACACAAGTGGCAGGGCACTGCAAGGCACAAGAAACTGCAGCTCCTGAGATGAGTAATAATATACAAGATAGATCCTGACCTGATATTACTTGAATGTTTCAACATTTGCAAACAGTGATTAAAAATCTTAACAACAGCAACAAAAATATCTCTATAAAGGCAAATGACTGTTTTATGCAAGAGAAGACTTTTGCTGCCTTTTATTTACTTGCACATCTTTTATTGCCAGGTGGAAGAGCATGATAATCAGTACAGTGTTTTAGGACGAACACTTCCCACGTTCCTCCACATTTTCCAGACAGTCTTTTTTATCTCTTTTTTATATCCCCATTGTGTGCCATAACTGTACTGAAGCAATATTTTAAAACAAGTAAGATTTTTGCATGTGCATTTTGTGGGGAAGTGCTCACAGATGCCCATCTTTACTCAGATGTAATATTACTATACTTAGAAATACCTTACACAAAATCTGTATTGTTGTGCTTGGAAAAAAAGACACTAAATTTGCTCTGTCTCTGTGAGGGTATTTACCCTCAGCTAGTGAATGTGTACAGAGCTAAATGAAGCTTGAGGGGCCGAGATGTAAAGTTGTGCTGTGGGACAGGCCCATGTCAGCTTTATATTCTGAAGGACAGTTTCTTTAGAGGGGGATGCCCAAGTGCAGAGTAAGGTCCATGCCTGAGAACAAAAGCCTGCAGGAGCCTTGCTCTGCCTGTGGCTGTCTGAGAAAGAAGAGCAAAGGCAGCCACCTGCTATCCTGGAAGCATGGCAGCTCTTGGGGCCAACTGGTGGGATGCTCTGTGCCCATGGGGAAACCCAGCAAAGTGCTCTGGGCTGGCTTGGCAGCCCAAGTTAAGTCTGCAGGTGCCTCCACTATCCCCTGGATAATTGTACAGCACGGCTGAAGAATGAATTGCTGATGTTGCCTTCCAGTTTTGACCCTTGCTTTAGCAGTCATACAATGAGCATACTTTGTATGCACTGTCCCAGTGTATATATGCAGCGCTGTGCTGCAGGCACAGCTTGGCAGTTGCAGGCACATCCTCTGATAGCCCATGGGGGCTCAAAGCAAGAGGTATGTGACAAAGTCCATCTCCAGGATGCCACATGCCATTTCAGCGCAGCTCCAAACAAATACTGCTGCCCTGCCTACATTTCGTTAGTAAATACATCTTGCAGGCTCCAAATCATTGCAAGGAATATAGATTCACAGTCACCACCACTGCTGAAAGCAATTTCCTTACTCCACACTCTACCCTTCACTGCTCCTCACACTGCTGCTGTGCAGAGCCTTGCAAACGTCTGCCACAAGGCCTTGACATCTGAAGCAATCTTGAATGAAAACACAAACTATATTTTGGAGGGTGTCAGATTAGGTATTTTTTAATTCTGTTCACAATGAAGTCCCTCCATGGCACATTAAGTGCTAGGTAATAAACTGTTATCTTGTTTATGTGTTTAAATTGGACCACAAAAAATCAGTGACTGGACAAATATTTTCCCCCGAAAGTCTAGCCTTACTAGCCTCACTTGGAATTTTATTTGTACTGTATAAAAACTGATGGTTCTATTTAACTACAGTCTACACAGAAACTGAAACTGCATTTAAAAATGTATTTCAGAAGGTCAGAAATTTTAGGAGAAAAAAAATAACTTTGAAGCAATAAATGAGACAGCGAAACAGGATGATCCCCCTTCCACCACCCCCTACCCCCCCCCCCCCAAAAAAAAAAAAAGGCAAAACAAAAAAGGGAAAACTTCCTGACAAAATCTGCTAAATTCTCTAAAGCCATCTCTTTGCCTGACTTCAGTTCTATGTAGGTCTGTTTGTTGTCATTGGCCACAGCACCAGCTCAGCAGCCATTATTTTATAGTTGTTTTTTTTTGCCTCTGGTACCTCTTTGTTCCCTCTTGGATCATAGTCTCCATTGCAGAGGTCACACTAATGATGAAGTCACAGTAGTTCTCACCAGGGAAGAAATGATCAAGATTTGTCTCATATGCTCAGACCACAGCTTGGATTCTGCAATCAGTTAATCATCTCACTCCCTAGAATTTGGCCAAGCATTCAGGGATATCTGTCCATCTCCTTTATTATATTTTGTTGTGGCTTAACACCCATGGGCAGCTAAGCTCCACAAGGGCACTGTTTTGCTCCTCCTCCTAAGAAGGACAGGGGAAAAAAATGATGAAACAAGGCTCATGGTTTGAGGGCTTATGGGTTGAGTTAAGTGCAAAACTCTCACCAGTTATTGTCATGGGCAAAACAGACCCAGCATAAGGGAGATTAATGTAATTTATTGCCTATTACTAACAGACTAGAGCAGTGAGAACTAAAAGCAAACTAAAAACCTCTCCACCCTCCATCCATACTCTTTCACCTCCTCCCCCCTAGTGGCACACTGGAACTGGGGAATTAGGGATTCAGTCAGTCCCTAATTTGTGATAAAAAATAATAAAAAATATTATCTAATTTAGATAATAAACAAAGTATAGCCCACAGAAAGCTTAGGTTTTTCTCCCTAGTTCAACAAAGAAACAAACCAAGAGAACTTGCTTAGCAAGGATGAAAAATCTGACCTATGCTTGTGTGACAGGGCACAGTCAGTAACTGCATCTGCTGCACTATGCCCGCATCTGATAGAAAACCACTTACAGAAGGTACTCGTTAAGCACGTTGCTTTTTTATCCAATGTCTCAGACCATAAATACACATCCTGCCCTAGTTCAAGGCGATAAGCTGCCACAGCTTAGGCCTTAAGTTCAGAGCCCCTAAACCAGTCCCTCCGACAAGCGAGGAACCCCCCGCGCCTGCTGATTCCTGACCTCCGGCCACTGCGCACGCACGGCTCGAGGCCGCACTTACCTCACTTCCGCCTCCGCAGCGTGCTGCTCGCGCCCCGCGGCAGCGCCAGGCCGGGGGGCGGGCACGGCGGCTCGGGGGGCGGCGCGGCGCGGAGCTCGCAGCCCGGTGCTGCTCGGCGGCGGGGCTCGGGCCGCGCCCCTCGCGGGCGCCCGCCGACTGGGGGGGGGGGGGCAGCTGCCCCCGCCCTGTGCCCGACAGACGGGCGTGCGGCGGCCGGCTCTCTTGGAGACGCTTTTTCTGCAGTCCGTGCTGGGAAAAGAAAATGGAGCTGCTCACGTCCCGTGGAGCTCACTTGGAATTTCAGAATCCTGTTGCTTGTCTGCATATTGCTGTAGCACGATGTTTCAGGCTCTCAGATAAAGGGATGCTTGCAGCTTTTTGTCCGTGCTTGTGTCTAGCATCAGATTTCTAGATTGTGTGTTTATTTATTGCGTACACTGTTACCGTAACTGCTGGCTTTTTGCGTGGATATAAAGTGTAACCTTAAACAAGACTTGAAAACAGAGTAGTGACAGATTTATAGTTCCACAAATACACTGGCTCAATGGACTGATACTACTGCTGCTCACGGGCAAAACCCGAGTGCAACACATAGGGCCGCCTAAATGGCAAAAGCCTTCCTCAGTGCCACATACAAAAGCTCTGCTAAATCCTGCAATGCCTGCAGACACAATGAAAGTTCAGAAAGTGGCAGGAAATTTCATAGACCAGAAACAGCAGCAACCAAGTGCTGAATTAAAGGACTTCTTCTAGTGAGAGACATAAAATGAACCAATTTCTTGAGCACACTTGAGTTTAGGGGAGTCTGCAGTTCCACTCTAGCAAATTTCACAGAAACATAGAATGCCTTGGATTGGAAGGGACCCTAAAGATACCTAGTTTCCATCCGCGCTGCATAGACAGGGATGCCACCCACTAGATCAGCTTGCCCAGGGCCTCATCTAACCTGTTCCTGAACACCTCCAGGGTTGGGGCATTCACAACCTCTCTGGCAAATTTAACGCAGAGGAAACTGGAAAGACTCAGAATTTTAAAGGGAATAAGGATTTCCTAACAATAACACTAAAACAATTTTCAAAAGGAAACAAACAAGCAAAAAAATAAAAAGAAAACACAAAACAGAGTTTATGTTGAATATATTCTGGATCATAGCTATGCTAAGATACACAGAGAACAGAGAGGTGACTGGTGACAACCAACCAACATGGCTTCACTAAAGACAAAGGTGCTTGAAAAATTTGGTGGCCTTCTACAAGGAGGTTACAGCATTCATGGATAAGGGAAAAGCAACTAATGTCATCTATCTGGAATTGTGCAAAACGTTTGACACTGTCCCACATAACATCCTGGTCTCCAAACTGGAACGTCTTAGATTTGATAGATGGACAACTCAGTGGATAAGGAATTGGCTGGATGGTTGTGGTCAAAGAGTTGCAGTCAATGTCTTGATGTTCAAGTGCAAATCAATGATAGTGTCCCTCAGGGGTCGGTAGTGGGACCAGTACTATTTAACATCTTTGTCAGTGACATAGACAGTGGGATCGAGTGCACACTCAGCGAGTTTGCAGATGAGGCCAAGCTGAGTGGCACAGTTGACAGGCTGATGGAAAGGGATGGCATCCAGAGGCACCTTGACAGGTTTGAGAGGTGGGCCTGCGTGAACAACACAGTTCAACAAGGCCAAGTATAAGGTCCTGCTTCTGGGTCAGGGCAATCCCAAACATTAATAGAGGCTGGACAATAAGTGAATAGAGAGCAGCTCCGCAGGGAAGGACTTGGGGGTACGGGTGCATGAAAAGCTCAGTGTGGACAGCATGCTGAGGGAGGTGATTGTCCCCCTCCCCTCTACTCTTGTGAGACCCTGCCGGGAGCCTTGTGTTCAGTTTTGGGGAATGCAGCATAAGAAAGGCACCAGTTAGAGTGGGTTCAGAGTAGGGCCACAAAGATGATCAAAGGGCTGGAGCACTTCTCCTATGAAGAAAGGTTGAGAAAATTTGAGTTGCTTAGCCTAGAGAAGAGAAGACTCTCGGGAGACCTTATAGTGAACTTCCAGTACTTAAAGGGGACCTACAGGACAAATGGGGAGGGACTCATTCAGGGATTGCAGTGACAGGACAAGGGGTAATGGTTTTAAACTGAGTGAGGGTAGATTTAAATTAGATACAAGGAAGAAATGCTTCACTCTGAGGGTGGTGAGACACTAGCACAGGTTGCCTGGAGAAGTTGTGGCTACCCCAGCCCTGAAAGTGTTCAAGGCCAAGTTGGGTGGGGCTTTGGGCAATGTGGTCTAGTGGGAGGTGTTACTACCCATGGCAGGGTGTGTGTGTGTTGAAATTAGATGATCTTTAAGCTCCTTTCCAAGCCAAACTGTTCTATGATGCTATGATACTCTGTTTCTGTGATATGACTTGAATCCTGTCTGTTGCATAAGCTTCATCCTGAAGAATTCTTTTATTTCAGCAAATACACCAGGGATGTTCTTAATGAATGAGAACAAGCATTTTCAGTTCTGGTCTAAACTTCAGTTCTTACTGAAACTTTATCTGTTTTCTGTCCCAGTGATTTGTTCTTTTGAGAGTTGAAAGAAGAATGACGTCAAATACACTTTACCCCTAATAAAAAGAATCATTCTGAATTTATTTTGAAAAACTATCAAGTGGCTGGAAAATTATGAATGCAGTCAGACTTCAGCATGTCATAGTCTTCCACTTTGTTCCAGAGAAAGGTGACTTTTGTCTTACTGAACCAGAGGTCCTCTACTGAATAAATCATCTTTCATTCTCACAAGAATGGCAGTCTGATAAGGAAGCATCTTATCTCTGTTTACATAGCTATTGCTGGTGAGTAGTAGCAAAAATCTGGCATTGAGTCTTCAAAAGGCACAGTCCCTCTGATACCTTTAACAAAGACTGTACTATTACATTATTCTTTGAAGGATGTTGGTAGAACACAATCTCATCCTCCATTTTAGAAATACTATCTCTCAGCTAGCATTATATATAACCTTCCTTACATCTAAGCTGTGGATCTTTAGAGTTCTGATTCATGGCCATATTGCAAATAAGAACAATAATTAAAAAAAAAAGGAAAAAAAAAAGTATTCCATGATAGTATTAGTAATAATAATATCAGAAAGATGAAAGTGTAAGCATCAGAATAAAAAGAAGATCCTATGACTCAGTTCAGACAAATAGTCCCAGTGAGGTCAGCTAAGAAAACTATCCTGAATCAGTATGGCTTCTCAAATGACTAATTACTCAAACAAATTAACTTTATTCTCTTTGGCCCTTAATATATAGAAAAAAAATATGGAAAGCAGTACTTGCCCTGCTAAATTTCCATACAATACCTGACTGAGACTGGTTTTCTGCCTCATTATACATTTTAAGCTTTCACTTTTGAATAAGTTAAAATGATCTTTTGAGTTAAATAAGAGGAGAAAGTCTGTTAAAAAACAGCTCTTTGCTTCTATTAAGTAGGAAAATTATAATCTATGATAAAAGTATTGCATATTTTCTTCTTACAGCGTAAACAGGACAATGAAACTAGGTGTAAGTCAAAAGGAATATATTCAAGCATTATGGGTTCCTTATTCTTTTTTTCTGTTCCTTCAAGGGTGTACACAATGTCAATGTAGTGAACACTTAGTTACTTGGAGGTAGATCTTAGGAATCTAAGTAACAAGTTATTTTACCAAGAACTGTTTATAAAGTTACAGCCTTAAACAATTGTTTGGCTGAAAAATCTCTACAGTTCTGATGTTTGTGTGCAAGTACACTCTAGTTAGTCTCTTAAGAGCTTGGTGAAATAAGTTTTTGGAAAAATAGGAGACACAGGTAAATAAACTAAGTGTCGATTATAGAAGAGTTCATTCTCACCTTGATGCTCTTGACTAAAGTGCCAGAAAGTTTGCAATTCAACTCTCAAGCCTCATAAAGAAGCTATTTATTGGAGTACAAAGCTGGAACTTGCAGTGGGCATGAAACACAGTGTGTACACTTAAGGTACACCCCAAAACGTTCAGTCTAAACTATCTACAGCCATTCTCTGAGTTTTGATTCTGTTTTTAATGTTTGTCTTGTTCTGTGTCTCAAAGCAGGTGACAGTGCTTGGATTATGCAGCCTGACTTGCCAGGCTGAACGGGAAGGTGGGACAGAATTTGTTGCTCCGTGGTTGCCCCTAGGAGCATGAAGTGTCTGACACCCAGCTATGACACCCATCCAGTACAGACATCCCCCAGAATAACTTCCTTCCTGCCAGAGGTCCTCATCACCTGGCTACAGGAGGCACCAGCCAAGCAGAGACCTGTTACTCCAGAGTAAATGAGCTGTATCATTGCTTTGGTGGTTTTGGTTATAAGACTTCAGGGTTTCCATTGTTTTGCAGAAATAATCTTATTGTTCAGTGAAACCTCAGGTTTTCATTGAAAAAGAGAATGTGTGAGTTCATCAAATTCATATATTTAACAAAAAAGATTTTAGGAAAAAAAAATAGGCCAGGCCATTTGGATTCAATGCCTTTCCATATTTCTCTATACAACCTCCTTTCACTGAACAAACCTACTTTTTTATTTTAATATCCAGTAACTTTAGGGAATAGAAATTCATAGCAGCACCAAATAAATGCATCTAAACAAATGAAACAGGATTCTCAAACCAAAGGCAGCTTATTGAAGCTGGGAAATTTATCATTTGATATAGGCTGAAATAGTGAATACTGTGTAAAGAAACTTGGTATGCCAAAATGTAACTAGACAAAATGTAAAGGCATTCCCCAGCCACTGGGGAAGAAACAAGTGTGAGTGCAAGTGAGGAAGGAAAGAGTGCCTGGAAAGAATGCTTCTCTGAAGCTCTGTGATAGCTAAAGAGAGTACCGATGAAAATATTTTGAATGTGTATGTCCTTGTTCTGGTCTCCACTAAATTCAGTGATACTTATCTCCTCATTTTTTTAAATAAGGACAAAATAATTACAAATAATTTCAATAATTACAAAATAATTATTACCCTTGAGTAGTTGCACATGGATTCTTTGACTGACATGATGGAAATTAAAAGGTCTGTAAGAATTTAGCAGTGACCATCCATATTGTCCAATTGTTTCTCATTGAATTACCGTCACATGTGGATTCTTTAATTATGCAATGTCATGTTCCAACCAAAAGTGGCATGGAAAAAAATATATTCCTCTATTACAAGATTTTTTGTAATAGGAGTTAATTGATTTTTGCAGTTTCTTTTTTTTTTTTTTTTTTTTTTTGTAGTAATGCCCTTTACATAGAGTATTTCTTAAGCACCTTTGATATGCCAGTATTATTTAATTGTCACCAGCAGAAGAATGGACTGCATATCATGAACAGAGCTACCTAGCTTTACAAATATTCATTGCTACTTTGTGGGTTGTTGTTTGCTTGTTTGCTTATTCATTTATTTCTGCAACTTTTCATTTTGCTTTTGCTCCTAAATCTCATTTATAAGCAGAACTCTTCCAGCTGAAGTAATCAGCAGACAGGCATGCTTTTCCTTTGGTAACAGCCAGCTGGGTCAGGCTCTGTCTATCTATCCCATGAGAGTACCAGAGACAGCAGATGTACAGCTCTCCTTCCACTGTGAAACTCAATGGGAGAAGGCACAACTGTATGGAAGTATTTGAAAGCCATCGGTGCAGACAGTGTGCTTCTTCCTATTTGATTTGGGACTTGCTCTGCTCCTTGTAACAGGAGCCAGCACCAGATACACTTTCATCTTCTGCTCCTGATGTTCTGAGCATCAAGAAGTTCCGTCATGTGTTACATATCATCTGGCTCTTGGCCAATAGTGTCCCATGCCAGCAGATCCAGTGGGTGTCTCAGCTATGAGGAGTGGTAGCCGCTCCAGAGCTGTG